GGTACCCAGGCTCCGATATTTCAGTGTGAATCCTTGTTCTGGACATACCCCCTTCCAGGACAAGTAATTCTACTTCAGTGAAACTCATAGTGGATTGCAGAAATTGGGATGCTTGAACACCAACAACTTTGGCTCACGTGCCATTCGTCAGTTGGGAACAGGGCTCTGCTTTTTCAGTGGTTGGTTTGAGAGTTCCTTCAACTGTTCACGAGCACTTGGCAGGTTTCTCCTTCCTACCCGCGCAGTACAAAGCAATTGGCCTTTTGCACATGAGTATTCTCAGACTGTCGGATTGAATTCTGCTACCCCCCCTCCCCTCGCTGAGTGACTGCTCTGCTCAGCTGGCAATTGTTTAAATAGACACTTAAATCAGCTACCGAATATATAATTCAGTCATCATTAAATGCTGCCCGTGTTTTTTTTTTTTGGTCTAAGTAATCCCTACTGATGCTAATGTCTGCAGATTGGTTTGAATTGGCAGCCTCTTTGCACATGCGCAGCTGTGCAAAAACTGAATGCAAACCTGTTTGGCAGCCATGCAGAGCTCTACAGCACGTACTAAACAAATACAATGATCAGCGGGCATCTAACCAACATTTTCAAACACTGCAGATTTGACTGTCAAACATGCTCACGGAGAAATTCATAGCATTCCTTAAGTGCAAAGGATTTGCAATTCTGGTCAACCAAAACAGCCGCTTGACTATCATATGCCCTGGGCCACCTATCCCATGTGACCCACACAAACAATAATCAACATTTAGCCAGAATTTAATCTAGGTGCACCTTACAGTTTGGTGTAGTGGTTAAGTGCGCGGACTCTAATCTGGGAGAACCGGGTTTGATTCCCCACTCCTCCACTTGCACCTGCTGATGTGACCTTGGGTCAGTCACAAGCTCTGGCACAGCTGTCCTTGAAAAAGAGCCGTTTGTGTCAGAGTTCTCTCAGTCCCACCCACCTCACAGGGTGTCTGTTGCGGGGAGGGGAAGGGGAAGGAGTTTATAAGCCGCTCTGAGACTCCAAGTGAAGGGCGGGGTATAAATCCAATCTCTTCTTCTTCTTACAGACCAACAAAATTTTCAGGGTATGTAAGAGTCAAAGCTCCCTTCATCTTGTTGGTCTCTAAGGTGCTACACAGCGATCCACTGAAACAGTAATAAATGTATGAGTATAAATATAACCTTTTTACTAATTAGTGTGTGTGTTGTGCCATTGAGTTGCTTCTGACTTATGGTGACCCTATGAATGAATGCCTCCAAAATGTCCTATCGTTAACAAGCTTGCTCAGGTCTTGCAAACTGAGGGGCCTTGTGGCTTCCTTGATGGAGTCAATCCACCTCATGTTGGGTCCAGTGTTCCCTCTAAGCTGAGTTAGTGTGAGCTAGCTCACAGGTTTTTAGCCTCCAGCTCACACATTCCTGTCTTAGCTCAGGAAGGATGGCTCCAGAGCAAACTAATGTATGCAGTAGCCAAATCACTTGCTCACAACTTTAATGCCAGCAGCTCACAAAGTAGAATTTTTGCTCACAAGACTCCACAGTTTAGAGGGAACTTTGGAACTTGGGTCTTCCTCTTTTCCGGTCACCTTCAACGTTCCCTAGCATTATTGTCTTATCCAGTGACTCTTGTCTTCTTATGATGTGACCAAAGTACAATACCCTGAGCATATAGGGTTGTTTCTCACTGCCACTGCAGATCCTTTGTCAGCCCTTGTGTATCCAGAGTGAGGGGAGGAACAGGCAAGTCAGACTCATGACACAAAGCAGTGCGCAAGGTTTCAAGTACAGGACTCTGCTCCACTTGGCAAGATCGTATTTATTTGGAGTTTATCCCATCCCTCCTTCACAGAACTCAAGGAATAAAAACCTGTCTACAGCTAGTTACTAGGAATCACATGCTTTCATAGAAATGATAGAATCACAGAGTTGGAAGGGGCCATACAGGCCATCTAGTCCAACCCCCTGCTCAATGCAGGATCAGCCTAGAGCATCCCTGACAAGTCTTTGTCCAGCCGCTGCTTAAAGACTGCGCGTTACCCTGTTCTTCTCTTCCCTCCCTCCCTCCCCCACCTGTTTACCCACCTACCCTTTTCGTCCCTCTCATTTTTTAATAGTTTGTCTTCTCCTTACCATAGTTGTAGGATTGTTTGTTCGGTAATGTAACAAAAACCAAAATACAATGAGGCATCTCTCTCTGTTTCATAAAGGAATCTGCTTCCACAGAGCTTGTTAGTCAGAAGAAAACATTTGGAGGGAATTGGGTTTTGCTTCCCATTGTACCATGCTACACGAACAATATGATTTACTGTTACCCAAGAGGGCTGAGTGACATCATCGTTATTATACTATGTGAGAAAAGAATTGAGTTGGAATGGAAATATCTAATATTCTTATCACTCCTTTTTATATGAAGTACTAGTATTACATTAGGGGGAAAAAGGGAACTGAAACCTCCCTACCCGTGTTTTAAATTACAGTCTTACATGGGTGCATAGCACTGAGACCATTTGGCACAAATAATTGTTCTCTCTGAAACATGGCTGATAGCACCAGAACAAAAGCAAATAATATTTTGACATTTCTTTGCAGAATTCTCTGAAGTTGATTGCTGTCATTGAAATCTGTGTGCAGTATGTGCTAAGTGTAAGAAAGCAGGGAAGTAAAGCCTTCCAGAGCTTAATTGCAAACTGATTTAGAACAGTGTGATCTCAAAACAGCTGTGGTCCTAAATTTCTTGCTGTAGAACTGGATCAGGAAGGGGAAGCCCCTAGGAACAAGAGAATGCATGACGGCTCCCTACAATCCTTCTCAAAGATGTTCCTAACTCCGACTTGTAAAGCTTGTGACCATTCTGAATATAGCCAGCAAATCATACAGGGCCTACCAAGTTTTCAACAGTAACCTCTAATTTTCCAGACAAGTCCTCCTCCCAGAAGTGTATCAAGCCACAGGTGACCTGGCAGTGCCAACATACAAATTGCATTTGTGTTTGTGGGTCATAAGATTACTGAAGCAGTATCGTTGTCATTCCTCCCAGGTGCAGTCTATGGTTGCTTCACATTTCTCATGTGATCCATAAAGTTCCAACGTTACTGGAGATGTATGAAATGGAAGCACCCAGGGAGCAGCAATCATATACCTCCTATAATTACAATGCAGAAGAATATCATACAAATATGGTCCCACCTTCTAGCTCTGATCAGGTTGAAAGAAGAGTATGAGGGAGTTACAGAATGATAAAGCTGGAAGATGTCAAAAGATTCTCTCGTCTAACATGCACACACAAATTTTACAATGTGTGGCCATTTCCACAGCATCTTACTTTTAAATTTTTATTTACTTCCACAATACCCCACCTTTCTCCCCAACAAAGACCCCCAAACAGCTTACACCATTGTCCTCTCTTCCATTGGATCATCACAACAACCCTGTGAGGTAGGTTAGGCTGAGAATGTGTGACTGGCCCAAGGTCACCCAACAAACTTCTTATAGCAGAGTGAGGATTTCAACCTGGGTTTCTAGTCCAGTAGCCCAACAGCGGCTCTCACAGTATTGCAGTACCTTCCCACTATGTGCGTCTGGATAGGTCTCCTTTCCAAATCTGGTGGTCTGTGCAAAGAGTTTTCTGGTTCTGCTCTTCATTTGTTTTCTGAATGTTATTTCTGTTCTCAAGGTGGAAGATGAGCACACTCATGCACACTTTCTACCACACAGACACATTGAAATTATAAAGACAAGTAAGCGTTGTACAAAGTCAGGTGGATTTCCTCGATTTTTCCCTTTTTTGATCATACGTGGGGGAGGGCACGTGAAGCCAGGCTGAGGAATTCACACAGAGCCCAAGTGAGATGACCAATGTAGTTGGCACAGATAACAGAGAATCACAGAATCACAGAGTCGGAAGGGGCCATATAGGCCACCTAGTCCAACCCCCTGCTCAATGCAAGATCAGCCTAGAACATCCCTGACCATCATTGGAAGTAGCTGGAGCATTGTGATATTCTCAGAGACTTCCCCTGTTAGCATGACTGGTATTTTCCAAAAGTAGCCAAACCCAAAAGACAGACCTCCCAGTATCCAAACTCCGAAGACAACAAAACTGGGGCCAATATCAGTCCAATAATACACTCTTAACCATTAGTTATGTATGCTAATACAATTACTTTTATACTTGATTATAGTATCTAAGTATACAAAATATTCACAAGGTATACAACCTAATCATACAATATCTTAATGTTATACAATAACACGGTAATACAACAAAATATCAATTGCTGCCAACAACCAGAAGATACTAGTGGAATTCCAAAACATGTGCTGTTAACAGTCAAAAGAATGTAGAGCTTCTTGACAAAGCAGCCGGCTTATGCTTGGTTTCGTCTCTTAACTTCCTCAGAAGCCACTTAAGGTATTTTGTTGTATTACCGTGTTATTGTATAACATTAAGATATTGTATGATTAGGTTGTATACCTTGTGAATATTTTGTATACTTAGATACTATAATCAAGTATAAAAGTAATTGTATTAGCATACATAACTAATGTTTAAGAGTCTATTATTGGACTGATATTGGCCCCGGTTTTGTTGTCTTTGGTATTTTCCAAAGTCAGGACTACCCAGATTTGCCTCCTGTGTCTGCACACAAAATGCACACCTGCCTCACTCCTGGATTGTCTGGGGCTCTTGGAAGGATTGGCAACTTCCAGGTGAGGCCTAAAGATCTCCTGGAATTACAACTGGTCTCCAGATGACAAAGATCAGTTCCCTTGAAAAAAAATGGCTGCTTTGGAGGGTAGACTGTACGGCATTATACCCCACCGAGGCTCCTCCTCTCCCCAAACTCCTCCCTTACCAGGTTCCACCCCCACCCCACCCCCGATCTCCAGGGATTCCCTATCCCAGAGCTGGCAGCCCTGCATGGAAGAAAAGACACCATGGGTGAAATCCCATGAAAGCATGTGATACAAGCATGCTTGAAGTAAACGCTGATGAAGCTTTATTTCGTTATCTTGTGATAAGGAAGTATGTTCAGAGCTGAGGTGAAAGCTCGGATGTCCAAAACCGAGGGGAAATTCAAGAGAGGAGAGGAGGGTAAAAATGTTAGCTCAGCTGTTTGACCAAATAAAGAGTCCTGAGCAGTGGAGGTTAGGTGAACTTCTGAGTCTCCTTCCTGTTTGCCATATCCAACCACCTGGAAATTCAAGGTCAAGCGGTTACCAAGTCAGCAAACATCCAGATTCTAAACGTTTGAACAAAGCTTGATTTCCTTCACACATAATCCCCACAGTACTTTCATTATGACATTTCTGTCTGACTTCCCACAAACAGATGATACCTCAAGAGGACACTTTATGTTGACACTCGCAAATCACAAGCCAGTTGGGTTGCCCTACATCGATTCCATGAGGTATAAATTTAACAAAAACAGAACATGTTGCCAAACGGAAGCAGGTTAGCCTCAGGGTTTTGCCCTGCAAAACTGTTGGTTGGTGTGATTTAATACATTCAGCCTTCACTACTGTAAGCACCTGTGTTGTACTAGGTGACCTCAACTTTTGAATGAGTAAAAAGGTCTTTAAATGTAGGCTGTCTTCCACTTCTGTAGTTTGACATTTACTTCTGGTATACTACATGCTTTATTCAGCAGCATTTAGAGTTTTAATTTTTGGGGGGGGGCATGGGTTTCAGATTAAAGAGCATTTCATAAAGGTCCTCACAGGTCTGTATTTCAAAGACATTTGTCAAAAGGTCATGACAGGAAGGGGGAAATCTTAAATATGGACATTTTCCAAAGGGTTCCTCAGAGGGAAACGAACAATCTGCATTGGCAGTTCTGATTCCAAACTTGCTTATTGCTTTTTCATGTAGGAAGGATGTTTGTGTGTGCAGTGAAGTTTAGTAACGAAGTTTGGTGGACAGGTTGCATTTCTTATCTTCGGGTAGTGAAGGGCGGGGGTATAAATCCAATCTCTTCTCTTCTTCTTCTCCTCTCCTTTTTGTCATGTTTAAAACTGCCAGTCTCTCCACCTCCACCCTAATAGTGTGGTGTGTGTGTGGCCTTTTCACCTGGGAGTAAAGCTTCTGACAGGAACATGCATCAGCTGTTCTACTTCAAACATTATGAAGGAGCAGGGGTTGAACTGAATCCTTCACAAATAGAACAAGTCTGTGGACGGGTTTTCCCCCTGCTTTCCTCTTCCAATAGCAACCCACCCCCTACTGCCTTCCCTCTGAAAACTGCTCCTGAAGGTCAGGGGACAATCAGGAACAACATGGGACAGAGAGCAGAGCCTGCAGCAAGAAGGGGAAATTGTCAGAAACTTTCCCTGCTGGCTCTTGCATGAGCTTTGTGGAGATATTCTCCACTCACAGAAGAATGTAGAGGGCTGACTTTTCCAATCCCCCCTTCTTACTACAGCCTTTATCCCATGTCCCATGCTACTCCTGAGGGTCCTCTGACATCAGGAGTGACTTTACTAGAGTATGGGCAGAGCCCTGGAGAATGGCCCATGCAGGGCAGAGAGCATGACTCTGACTGTTCTCACTTGCAAGTCACATGAACAGATGAATCTAACTTACACTGAATCAGACTATTGTCTATACAGACTGGCAGCAGCTCTCTCTGGGTCTCCAGCAGTGGTCTTTCAAATCACCTACTACCTGGTCCTTTTAACAGGAGAAGCCACGGATTGAACCTGGGACCTTCTGCATGCCAATTGTAATGTACTGACAGTATTACATGAATCGCCTAATCCACCTCCCATGTTAAGCTTCGAGCCGGCCAAGGCTCCAGCAGCACTGACAACTATTGGTCACTTCAGAACAGCGACCAATCACAGCAGGCCTATCCCCTGAGCGGGAAGAACTCTCATTGGTCCTTATCCACACAATCTTATTGGTTGTTATTTGTAAATAGGCGTGGCTACATTAGCCCGGGAATGTTTAAAAGGAGCCAAGCTCCAATGTTAATCTGTTCTGGTTATGAATGCGTTTGAGTGCTTGTTCGTACTTCAATAAAGACGACTCACTTGCTGAAATCACTCTCCGGACCTTTGTTAGTGGTGATCTAACACCAATCAGATGCTCTACCACTGCATCACCCCCCTCCCTAATGCAGCCACCGAGAAACCACACTCAGGATGTAAAAGGGAGGTGGTTTTATGGCCTGAAACTGCAGGCTATGCCACCAACCACTGTGAGCGTTGTTTATATATGAGAAAGAACCCTAATTTCAGACATACTCACATGGGTGCTCAACACCTTTCGGTTCTTGGTCTTATGTGATAGAAACCAGTCATGCAGATTCTTTCTGGAAAGGCTCTTCAGTGCAACAATCTACCATCCAGAGAAATAAAACAACATTTCAAAATAATTCCAAGGACCAATCCCTACGCTTTAACCCACACAAATGCATATACTAATTTCCTTGTTTTATTGAGGACACTTGTGTAGCTGCTTTTTAACTTTTCATCACTGAATGCTGTATGTGAGAAACTGAAAACAATGAAAATATAAATCTTGTTTTGATTGTAAGTGTGGAATACCCATATTAAGTAATAGCTGCATCCATCTCCCACTTGATGCAAACCATGTTCATTCCATTACATTATGAGCTGTTTCTATGAATGATAAAAAGACCAAATTATAATGTTGCTTGGGAGTTATAATGTGTGGTAGACAGGCGGCTGCACATGCTTTCAGCAACTGTATGACACTACCTTGATTAGAATGCTGGACTGCAGACAGAGCCTAGCCATGGCTCTTGCTGAAATTGTTGGAGAACTGATCAATAATTGAGACTTGGTCTTCCTGGCTTTAACTTGTATTGGATTCTAGTAGCTACTCTTGGGTTCAATGTCCTACAAGACTTTGTAAAGCTAATGCCCAGACATTGCTCTTTGGGTTAGTGGATAGTTTATGTACCAGGAGATAGTGGTCCTAGCCTCTAAGCCTAAACATAGATTGCCAGATTCCTGAGGTATCTGTGACATAGTATGTCTAGAGCTGTACTGACCCACTGATAATATACAGATTGTCAGTTGAAGTGGGGCCAGAATAGTCTGGGGGATCATGCCCTCATAGAATACTACATTGATAACAGGCAAACTTCATGCTTGTTGTATATGAGGGGTTGGATTTTGTCAAACACATCAGATATTCGTCACAGGTCAAATTGACAACTGCATTGACTTCTATAGATGGCAAAAGGTATTTAACATTTGGATTTTCTTTTGTTTGGTGTTGTTCTGGACAACCACCCTTTTCCAGGGGTCGTTTCATAGAAAAAGAGCTAGGGGAACTCATTAGCATAACTCATTAGCATATGCCACACCCCCTGACATCACCGGAAGTGTGTCATAAGGCCACACATAAGGCCACACATAAGGCCCCCAACGGTCCCGGCCGGCGGCGGCCTTGCAGCTCCACTGCCGAGCCCCATGAGGGGACCGGCGGTGGACCTGCAAGGCCGGCGGGAGTGTGAGGAAGCCCCGCGAAGGCCCTCCGTGGCCCCAGGCAGGCAGGGGTGGGGAGAGGCAAGGAGGAAGCAACTTACCCTCCCTCTTCTCCTGCCTCCTCCTGGCTGAATGAGGGCTGGAAGCGGGGCAGCTGGAAGCAGGGGGCGGGGCTTCACCATGTGCCCCGCCCCCGTACCTCACCCGGGGGAACTGTGATCCCCCCCAAAATGACCTCTGCCCTTTTCATGGGGCTTGACAGAACAATGAAGATAGATCCTTTATAGAACTACAGTACATGCTATTTAGGCATCTGATTAATTCTGTATGCTGCATATTAGAATGTTATATGGCTGAAAGTTTCTGAATTATGGTTTCCAAGACTCAATAAATATTTTCCAAGTTAACGCCACTGTCTTGGTTGTCTCTCTTTCTCTCTGTGAAATCTCTCTTTTCAGTCTCAATCCAGTCCACTGAACATTAGTGGGGGTCCCAGGCAATTTCCTGGACATTGGGATCACCCAAAGGAGATCAGGGCAGGTTGGCTTTTAGCATGCAACCATGTTGAAATCAACTGGCAACAGTGGGGTTGTCAGCCCCCAGGTCCGGGTGGGGGTTCCCCTGCTTTGGGGGGGCCCAATTCACCACCAGTCACCTGGCTGGTGGGAGAAGCCTCACCCCCAAGCCCTGCCCTCAAGAATGACCATCTGGGGCCACCCCTCTCCCTTCCCTCCTGTGAGATTTAAAGGGCTTCAGCTGATCGGTGGAGAGCATGTGGCCCACCGATCAGCTGAAGGGCCCTTTAAATTTTTCAGGAGGGAGGGAGAGGGGCTGTCACTGGCCACATACTCCACTCACTGCCATCCCACTTGCTGTGAGTGGGGCGGTGGCGCATGGGGCTGGCTGCTAGCCGGTCTCACAGTGAGTGGGGCAGCACCTGAATCCCAAGCGATGAATCGCTGCCTAAAAATCAGTCCCACACACTGCAGCCCCTACCTCGCTTGCAAAAAGACTCTTTAAAGGGTCTTTTTGTGAGCAGAATGTGCAGCCAGCGACAGCCCCTCTTCCTCCCACCTGAAAGATTTAAAGGGCCACATGCTCCCCGCCAATCAGCTGAAGCCCTTTAAATCTCACAGAAGGGGAGGGAGGGGGTGGCCCCAGGTGGTCACTCTTGGGTGGGGCTTGGGGACATCCCCATCTACCCCCGGAATGCCCCCCAAATCCCCCTGCTGCAGTGACGAGGGGACCTGGCAACCCTAGGCAACAGTCACATGACCTTGCCAGTGTTTCCTATGAATGCTAGAACTCACTGTGGCCCAGAAGAAAATCGATTCATTTTGAAATGTGGTGTCGTAGGAGAGTTTTATGGATACTGTAGAACACCATAAAGACAAATCAGTGGGTTCAAATCAAGCCTGAACTCTCCCTAGAAGCTGAAATGGCTAAACTGAGGTGATTGTGCTTTAGTCACATCATGAGAAGACAAAACTCACAGGAAAAAACAATCATGCTAGGAAAAGTTGAAGGTAGCAGGAAAAGAGAAAGGCTCAGGATGAGGTAGATCAACTCAGTAAAGGAAGCCATGATATTCAGTTTGCTGTTCCTGAGCAAGGCTGTTAATGATATGATTTTTGGCCATTAATCCCTAGGCTCACCATAATTTGGAAGTGATTTGACAGCCAATTACACATCCAGTGCCAAGAAAGATCATGAGACTTTAGCAATCCCAACCATGGGCTGAGCAAATAACATTTCCCTCCATTTCCTTTGTTCCAAGACTTGTTTTCAATCATCCACAGAAGAAGCTCATAATTTATTGGCAAAAATGTGATTTTAGTGGCAGAGTTGTTCACCCATCCCTACTTGTGGGCTTTCTACACTTAAATATGTTTTTATTTCATGGACTCAAAGTAACAACCCCTATACTTTTGTTCCCTTTCTTTACTGGATAATCCTGTGAATCAACAACACCTCCCCCCAACACATGTAGTTTTCTGACGTGGAGCTCTCACTGATTACAGCTTTGATAACTAGCAAAAGAACAGAACATAAATGAGGAGAGGCACCATGCTTGCCAAAACTGAGTCCCCAGTTTTGGGCTACAAAAGGAAAACAGATTAGATTCTTATTCCCACAGTCCCTACAGAAGAGAAAATCTGATCCTGATTGCAAGCAATTCTTTTTTTTTTTTGCAGTAACTACAGTTTCATTTGAAAACCTCACTCACAACTCTTCACACGTGTTGCTCCTACCCAGAGATAATCCTTGAGTGGGAAACTGGGGGTACACTGTCACTTGTGAAGAGTGGCTTGAGCATTTTTTTGTTGCTGTAATAATATGATTCAGTAAGCCCAATTCTTTCTATTTTACAATTTTGTCACTGTGGAACAAATCGGTTATGGTGAAACACTTGGGTTCCAGTTGATCCAGTTCCATGGAGCTACTACTGAGTTGACACCATGGATTAAATTCCCATTTTCTGTTTCAATTAGTTTGTGAGCCAGACCCAAAGCCATTCAATAGCTAGAGTTTAATCTTAAAAAGAAAAAGAAATCTATGCATCAGATGTTAGAGACTGTTATCCAGAAAATAGAAAAAGTTGTGTTTTTAATTTACTACCTCTCGGGCAAGTCTGTCGAACACATACTGTTGAGTGATCACTTCAGTCCAGTTTCTTTCTACCTCTTCAGCAAGCTGAGCATCATCAGTTTGCTTAAGCTTTATTAGAGCTGAGACCTATTAAAAATATATCATTTTAAGAAAGCTTCTGTCTACAAGGAAGTAACAACATTCTGTTTTCAAAAGGTTTAAGTACCAGTGTGGATCTCATAGCAAGCAACTCTGCCACTTGTGGCTCACTGTCTGCTCTGCAAATGCTTGAGTCTATATTGCTTCCAAACATGGATGGATTTACTACTTATTGAACTAGACTTCTTGTACTTTCTTATAGTAACATTGCCCATGCAGGTAAGAAAAAGGTGTGGGGCGCTAATGTGCAGTAACAGATTAGGAACAGAGTACCAACATAACAAAATTATGGCATGCTGGCAAAACATCGCACTCAGACTCAACACTGTACAATGGTACAGCACTGCAGGAAAGAGATATGGTACTCTTCCACTGATAAAAAGGAGGGGGGATGAGGTCCCCTTGGGCTTCAAGTTTTCAGACGCTCACAACATTTGTCTTGGCTTCTGTGTATTCAGAAGTCAGTCTTATCATTCTTTTAGGCTCTGGACATTTAGTATAATTTAACAACTAATTCTGGTGGATTTGCATACATTATTTGATGACATCTAAACTTGTCCTTCAGATACCCTTCATGCACAGCATGAATGGACAGCAGCAGCAGCTACAAGCTCTTCACCAGCTATCAGATGTAGGTTTTATTAGCTTAAAAACAGAATCTCCAGAAACCATTCACCCTTTGCAAGGAAAAGAGCTTGGGTCAAACAAGGAAGGAAGGATTGTCATTCCAGTTTCAACAATTTGCCAGCCCCAAAGCCAGTAATTAAAACACTTGCGCATAAAACATAGAGGCAAGCCACGTGAATGATAAAGAATGTACACCATCTGAAAGGCTACAGGAGATAGTGTTATGACATAGTTTAGAGCTATGCAACTTGGAAACAGGAGTTGTTTGATTTGATTTTCACCTCTAGGAGATGTTGGAGTGGTGGATAAAGCTGTACCTGTTATATTTATATCTGTCAAGCAGCTTTCAAAGGCACAAGAGTCCTGCAAAAGGCCTTCCAAAGGAACAGTTGGCTCTCCCACTAATCACTAGCGGATTGGGTAATGTCCTTGCCGCTATGACTGTTGCGTGACTGCCTGGTTGTCTGTGGAGATAGTTTAGCTAGGTGTATCTTGGGACTTGATGTGTTCATAATATGAAAATAATGCTATCAATGAGGTACTCTTCCACAGATAAAAAAGGAGGGGGGATGAGGTCCCCTTGGACTTCAAAAGAGGCTATGCTGGGGATCATAGGACAGACTTGTGAACAGGCTGAGAAGTACCCTGGGTACATCACTTCCAGAAATTTCAAGAAATTTGATGTGGAGTAGCCACCCTGGAGGGGTGTGTCTTATATTTGCCCTATATTTGAAGGTAATGAAAATATTTCAAGGAAATGAGAAGTCTCCAGCGCTCTCCTCTTTGAAAGAAATGGGGCCGGGAAAGTATTGCTCTAAAACTGTTCACTTCTCAGGGTAGTAGAGGTTACCTAATATATGTAATCTCTTTTGCAGCCAGGGCCAGGCAAAGATAGCCGGTCGTATCCTACTATTCTGCATAACAAAGGCTGAAGCCTTCCTATCTGGGCTCTTTTTGTAGCAGGAACTCCTTTGCATATTAGGCCACACAACCCTAATATAGCCAATCCTCCAAGAGCTTACAGAGCTCTTCTTACAGGGGCTACTGTAAGCTCTTGGAGGATTGGCTACATTAGGGGTGTGTCACTTAATATGCAAATGAGTTCCTGCTACAAAAAGAGCCCTCCAGCAGACAAGCCTCTTCTGTCAGAAAGGGGTTCCTTAGGACGTAGGAAGGCTTCCAGCTTTGCTGAACAGAATATCAGAAGGCATGCCAACACAGATGGAAGATGCACAAACCAAGCACAACAGCAGAGCACTGAATTCAGTGTTCACCATCTCCATCTGTGCACAACCCTCTTATATTTTAGTGGGAGCATTTTGACCTCTTTCAAAATGGTGCCGCTTCAGCCAGGCAAACTCAATCTTACCTGCACCCGGTATGACTTCCCGATGTTCTCTGTGTAAAAAATGTAGGTCAGCTGCTAACTAAATCAGCCTCAAGTCAGCAAGGCAGAAAGCAAAGAAGCTGTGGATCTTACCTGAGCTTTAAATTCTTCATCAGATAAATTCCGGAGTTTCTCTTCAAAGTGCACAAGGAAGTCGTCTATTTTTCTATCAACTAATTCAGAGCTACAGAAATTAAGGTTCATCATTAAGAAGATTAGTAATGATTAAGGATATAAATAAAGATTCCTGTCTTTGATTAGCTGCCTTGCTTTTAACTGGCGAATTGATAATATGCTATATTAGTGTCTTGAAAAATACAGAATTGATTTTCATATTTTATTTTGTTTTGTTTTGGACTAGATTCATAGGTCAACTCACCTAAGAAGAGCTTCATTTGCAAACTATTTATGTGGGCATGGTGCGAAAGATTTTCAGCATGTCATCATATCAGCTTTGTACATATGAAGTGAGTGTCAAGGAAACTCATGGCAGGAAAAAGGATTAATTGGAGCTCCCAGTGTATTTTTGAATGTTACAAAGCAACTGTAAAGGGCAAATTTGGTTTGGGGTTGTAGCAGTGGTAGGGAGGCGCTGAAGCAGGCCCATAGCTACTGGTAAAAAATGGGGGCAATCCCTTCTCAGAAGTATGTCCCACGCCTCCTCAAAATTAAAAATGTGTCACTTGAAAATTCATCTTAATTGTATTGCCTGACTAGAAAGAAATTCAGATTTTTTAGATTCCCAGTACTGAACACATTTCCACAGACAAGAATTCCAATTTATGCTGTTGGTCTTTGTTCAGTTAATTGGTTAACTACAAACTCGATGAAAGCTTTAAAAACACACAGAGGAAGCTGGGGGTTTAAATTCTGTAACTGACAGTTGTAGGTGTCTGAAATTGAGTTTTTGGTATCTTCCAGAATATTAACAAAAACATGAAAAATGCATTATCCAGAGGTTTGTTTCTCCAGGTGTGTTGCATGAGCAACAATAGGCCCTTTCTCAGCTGAGCCTGTTTCAAAGCCATGATGCAGAATGTAAAAGACTTTGATTTGGGTCTTAATGTCACTTAGTATGCTACTGAAGAAGATCATCCCTTATAATTGCCACAGGATGTTAAGCACAATTTTTCCATAAAGAGGAAGAAGCAAGTACCCAAATATGCAGGAAACACATGCCTGGGAGCATTGGCCACTCAGTTCCAGTATACTTCCGTGGCTGGAAGTTGGGATATTTGAAATTTAGGGTTAAATCAGAATTGCTACCAAATCCCCTAAAGCAAAATTTCAAGGGAAACTTGTAAGTTTTTTCTTGGGTTAAGCTTTCAAGTTTTGATTTTAAAAAATAATCAAAAGAGGATTAATGGGCCTAGTGGAAATGTTCAGGTAGTTTTTGTGCTATCTTAATTCAGGCAGTTCTCAGACAGATTTTGCACATTGTCCTTCTCAGAATCTTACTGGGCAATGAGAAATATTGACATAAATAAACTCTGCTACCCAAGAAACTTCCCAAAATGTTCTGATGAGCATTCTCTAGGAGGCACAACATATTGAATATAGCTGAGAGTTGGTGAAATGGGGAAAACACAGAAAGAGAAGGGGAAATTATTGGCCCACTCAAGATTCAGTGAGCTTGTAGAACCCAGGAGGTGGAGATTTGGGCAAGTGTGGATCAGGAAACACCCAAACCACTTAGCTTGCCTCACCATTACGCTAATAAGATACTTAATAACTGCCTATTATGAAGGCAGCAAACAGATGGTATACAGACAACTATGGGTTTATGCAAACAGGAAGGAGTCACTCAGTAAACAGGAAAAAAGGACTTTGTAAATTAGTCAAAAGGGGAAAAATCAAACTGGCATGATAAGGACTGAAGATGCCCAGGAACGTTGAGAGGCATGGAATGTTGAGATGGAGCTAAAGTGGGAAGGGGGGACACAGGTAGGGGTGAAACAAGACATGATCTTAAGAGTAGGAGTTCTGGATGGAGAAGATTTCCCAACGATTTATTTACCTTTCCCCACTGATATATTATGAACTCCCAGTTTGTACATTTTAAAGGATGCCCAGGCTAGTCTAATCTCATTAGATCTTTACCAGGGAGATGGTAAGACTATCAGGGAAGTCTAGGGTTGCTACACAGAGGCAGGCAATGGCCTCTGAATGTCTCTTGTCTTGAAAACCCTATGGAGTTGTCGTAAGTTGGCTGTGACTTAACGGCACTTTCCACTCTCACCAACTGAGCCAGCGAAGCACTGTATGAGCTATGTCTTAGAAGGCCCACTTCCAAGGTAGTTTTTTAACGCTGCGTCCCCAGTAAAATTAGACATCTCTATTGAAAGCACTTGGACTTAATTTAGTTGCAACTAACTTCTTCAGTTGGTTTCAGCGGGATTTAGTAATGATTAACTAGATATGGATCATAGCCACAGATGGGGTATGTAGGAAGAAATATATTGCAGTAAAGGCACATTCCCCTGTGTCTCGATAGCACATTGGAAGACAGCAGCAGAAACATTAGTCATAGAGAATTATGGGGAACCTGATGCCTTATATGTTTTAAGCATGTTATAGTTGTTCAGAAAATGCGGGTCGCAGCAGTGAAGAACAGCAGTATTCACAGAGCTCATGAGTGGAACTAATAATATTAAAGTTTGCACTCTTAAAAACAATTAATAGGAGACTTACTTATATTTGGTTGCCTGTGTTGCTACAGTAACCGAAAAACCCAGGATCCCAGATGTGTTTCTTGTGGCAGAGTAGACATGGTAGCTTAAACCAAAGGAGAAGAATAACATTCCACTAGTACAAGTCATTTTATTTTGACTGTAAGTACTAATTACTATATGGGAGCTATCCATCAAAATCTATTTCCCCACATGCACATTTAACACATAAGAAAACCAGACTCGGTAGATTGGTGGACAGCACCATTAGAATTATTGCTTAAACAATGTCATTACTGCCACTAAACCTGACAACCTGACCATACTGCTTCTGTCAGTATGGTCAGGACCAAACACCACTGAGATCTTCATTCCGTCCAAACAGACAGTGTTCTAATGGGGTGTAGTGATTAGAGTGTCAGACCTAGGAGACCAAGGTTCAGATGTCCAACCTGCTGGATAGGTAACTTTGGGGCAGTCATATTCTCTCACCTTAAAATATCTCAAAGGGTTGATGCGGCACCCCCCCTTCTTTATTCTATCTTTCTTTGGCCTCCTCCCTACCCTGACTACAAGGCAGCAACACAGTCCAGAACTGGCGAAAAAAACTGGTTTATGGATGCCATTGTGGAACTGTTTTTAAGATAGCTTATTATCATAATGATTTTTATATTGTATTTTATTTGCTGTTGTACATTGCCCAGAGCCCTGTGAACTCAGGGATTAGGTGCTTCATAAATTTAATGTATAAATAAACAAACACATAAAATGGAGAAGTGAGAACCATCTTTACTGCCCTCAGTTCCTTAGAGGAAGGATGGAATAAAAAGAAGGAAGGAAGGAAGGAAGGAAGGAAGGAAGGAAGGAAGATGGATTCTATCAGTGGCCATGGTTGTTTGTAGAGCGATTGTACTTGAGTTCTGAATTCAGTTGACTTCCTCTTTTTTCGACTGGCTGTCTTCCTATTGGGTTATACCTTACCAGGAAAATGCCTATTTTGATACTGCATTCAAGGGTTTAGGATAAAAAAGTGAAGACCTGCAAGAAACTTGTGGGATGTTTATCCCATCCCTCACATCTTTGCTTCCTCCCCCTCCCCCTACTTCTCTCACACTC